AAGGTTGAGAAGTTAGAGGGTTGACATGTTGTGGGGTTGTTAACCAATGTCATAAAACAATATGTGTACTACTGTTTCATGCAAAACTATTTGTTCTGTAAGCCTTCACCTGAAGTAGAAAAAAAAAAATAAGCATTAAAGAGGATGAGTAAAGCGTGCAAGGTCCACAGACTACACTTAAAACTCATGCACTACATTGCCTCACATAGCAAAATTGTGAATGAGGATTTGTTTTAGTTTTATATAGAGGTTTCCAATGCTATACACAAAAATTATTGTGATAGACTACACTACTAAGAATACTTTTTCGAGTACACATCCGTAAAGTTTTTGTTGTGTCAACATCTGGTCCTTAAAGAACCTACTCTATATTTGGTAAGGGGGACCCATACAAGATTATACTTGTAAATACTTAAGAGCTCAATTATGTGCTACAGAATAAATTGTTTTGGAATTCATAAAAAAGGAGATAAATGTGGCATAGTGGTTAAGAGCTATGGCTGCTAACGAAAAGTTCGGCAGTTCGAATCCACCAGGTGCTCCTTGGAGGGTAGTTCTACTCTGTCCTATAGGGTCGCTATGAGTCAGAATTGACTCAGTGGCAGTGGGTTTGGTTGGTTTGGGTTTTGATGTTATTTATAGGCTTAATCTGGCAGAGAGCACAGCATGAACAGAGGTATTTTTCTGGGAATAAGTCTAGCATTCTAGCATAAGTGTTGACACTGAGAAGGCTTGGATAACTGGACTATAAGGCACAGATAGGGCAGTAGTGTTGGTTAAAATGGTTAGATTTTGGGCATTTCAAAAGCTTTTATTCAATAAACCATAGGAAGTCATTATAAGAGTGATATAAAATGGAATAGATACATATAAAAGAATGATACAAAATGAGACTTTGTATTTTCATCTAATAATTTTGTCTTCCTTCTCATCCTCTTCTCCAAGGTAACTGCAGAGGCTACTTTCTAGAATGAATCAATAAGTGAAACAAATCACTCCATGGTGACTGAGTTTATTTTTCTGGGACTCTCTAATTCTCAGGAACTCCAGATTTTCCTAGTTGTATTCTTTGTATTCTTGTAGGGATTGTGTTAGGAAACCTTCTCATTGTCATAACTGTGGCTTCTGACTCCCACTTTCACTCTCCCATGTACTTCCTGCTGGCCAACCTCTCACTCATTGATCTATGTTTGTTTTCAGTCACAGCCCCCAAGATGATCGCTGATGTTTTTAATAAGCACAAAGTCATCTCTTTCAAAGGTTGCCTTGGTCAGATATTTCTCCTTCACTTCTTTGGTGGGTGTGAGTTGGTGATCCTTATAGCCATGGCCTTTGACAGATATGTAGCAATCTGTAAACCCCTTCACTACACCACAGTTATGTGTGGCAGTGTATGTGTGGGCACTGTTGCTGCTGGTTGGGGAACTGGCTTCCTCCATTCAGTGAGTCAGTTGGCCTCTGCAACGAACTTACCCTTTTGTGGTGAGGTGGACAACTTTTATTGTGACCTTCCCAGGGTCATAAAACTCGCCTGCACAGACACCTACAGGTTGGATATCATGGTCATTGCTAACAGTGGCGTGCTCACTGTGTGTTCTTTTGTTCTCCTAATCATCTCCTACACTATCATCCTAGTGACCATACAGCGCCACCCTTCAGACAGGTCATCCAAGGCGGTGTTCACTCTGACTGCTCACATCACAGTAGTTCTTTTGTTCTTTGGACCATGTAGCTTCGTTTATGCCTGGCCATTCCCTATCAAGTCATTAGATGAACTTCTTCCTGTGTTTTACTCTGTAGTCACTCCTCTCCTGAACCCAATAATATATATGCTGCAGAACAAAGACATGAAGGCTGCAATGAGATGGCTGAGAAAATGGAATGTGAATTGCAAGATAAAGTCTTAGATCTTCTATACTTGTGAGACTAGTCTGAGATAATGACATAATACATAGTAAAGTTGGTAAAGTATTTACTACAGCTCATGAAAATTGTACATTCCTTTTTCTTATCACTTAGCAATTGTCACAGAACTTTCACATACACTGTCTCAATTTATCATTAAATAACCTTATACTTCATATTTTTGGATACAGATGCAAAGTTAATACCATGCTTTCAAAATATTATATCACCTAATTCTCAGAACAATAAGAGTATTTGTGCCTTCCTGGGTGGTCCTGAGGGTTAATAGAGGAAAAGACAAAATCCAGCCTGGCTTATAAATGGTTTTAAAACTTTATTTGGCTCATTTTGCATAAAAACATCAAGAAAGCAACCGCCTAATGCTTAGCCCCCAAAAATATGTTTAGTGTTAAGGATATGTGTAAGCTAATTTTTAAGAGGTTAAAAAAAAGGCTCTCCCATTTTAACATGTTATAGCTCACCTACTATCAATATAGCAATCCATAATCAATGACTGTATTATGAAGAGTGATGGGAAGAGGGAGTCTGGCAATGTGAAATGTGCCTTGTAGGCAAGTGACATTCTGTGATAGACAGCAACTGCTCATAAGCAGCAAAAAGTGTTAGAGGGATCCAGGTCTCTCCACATGTTGGCATGAAGTGTATTATTTGGATCTATCCATGTCAGTTTTGAGAGCAAAGATTTTGAAATCAGAAAAAGTCAGGTTCAACTCTATTTACCCCTTACTAGTCATGACTGTGAGCATATTATTTAACTTTCATAAGCTCCAGTTTCCACAGCTATAAAAAGGAGATATTTATTGCATGTGGTTATTATGAGGAATAATTAGACAGATATAAACCACATAGCACATTTTGTGACATATATCCAGCACTTAATATATAGGTATTATCATTATTGCTATTATTTAAATCCTATATATCATACAAAGCCAAAAGTACTCAATCTTTTTTTTTTTTTTTTTAATCTCAGCATACTTGGGGGATACGATACATTACAATCATTAACACATAATCATTTGGGATTTTGTAGTTGTAAGTGAACATGTGTATATGTTCAAGCACATACTCATGCACTCATTTAGAAATTGTCCTGGCATATGATGTGAAGAATAGATCCAATATATCTTTTCCCACATTGCTATCCAGTATTCTACTATCATATTAATATGTTCTTCTTTTTCCTGCTGATTTGTGATACTGTTTCTTCGGGACTCTACCATCCTAGGGAGGTGTGCTAAAAATTATGGAAAGGGGTAGAGGGAAATATAGGTTAAAAAAAGCTTGACCAGTAATTCTGATAGATATCTCTTCTCTCCAGTGAGAATGACTTAACCAGTCAAAAAAATAAGATTAAATATTCTAAGCAAAAGATTGTAGTTTGTCAAAGTGTGGCTTGAATTAACTGATAAAGAGTTTCAGATGAGAAGAGGGTTAAAATTATGTTGAACTCAAAAAAAAAGGCAGGGCATATTAATATGATAGTGGAGTAACTGGATAGCAATGTTTGAAAAATATATTGGATATACTCTTTACATCACATACCAGGAAATTTTCTAAAATAATTAAAGATCTGAATCTTAAAAAAAATACTATACAAGTTCTAAAAGAAAGCATGAGTTGATGTTTTTATAATCCACAAATATGGTAAAAAGTGATGATATAAAATTAATTTTTTAAATGGATGGCAAAACCTGCAGAAAAGTCAGAAGATAAAGGAGATACTAGGAGAAAATATTACAACTCATATTAAAAAGTGTAATAGCCCTGATATAAAAAGCTTCTAAAAGTTTAGACAAAAAAGATCAACAAGCTGTTAAAAAAAATGGGCACAAGATATGAACTTACAGTTCATAGAAAAGTAGAGGCAAATGATCCTTAAATACATTAAAAGATGTTCAAGCTCTCTCATGTGAAGATATATGCAAAGAAAAACTGTACTGAAATATCATTTCTGACAGAGTAGCAAAATTCCCAAAATTTAATAATACAACCTGTTGGTGAAACTGTGGAAAAACAGACACTCTCATGCATTCTAGATGGGAATACAAAATGACACAACCTCTAGCGTTGTGACACAATATCTAGCAAATTTTCATATGCTATTAACTTTGTATCACCTTGAAGACTAAGGTGAGCCTGACCCAGGCCATGGTATTTTCAATCACATCATATGCATGCAAAAGCTGGACAATGAATAAGGAAGACCAAAGAATTGATGCCTTTGAATTGTGGTGTTGATGAAGAATATTGAATATACCATGGACTGCCAAAAGAATGAACAAATCTATCTTGGAAGAAGTACAACCAGAATGCTCCTTAGAAGCAAGGATAGTGAGACAACATCTTACATACTTTGGACATGTTGTCAGAAGGGATCAGTCCCTGGAGAAGGACATCATGCTTGGTAAAGTAGAGGGTCAGTGAAAAAGAGAAAGACCCTCAACAAGACAGACTGACACAGTGGCTGCAACAATGGGCTCAAGCATAACAACAATTGTGAGCATGGCACAGGACTGGGCAATGTTTCATTCTGTGGTACATAGGGTTTCTATGAGTCGGAACCGACTTGACGGCACCTAACAACAACAACATTAATTTTTACCAATCAAAGATACATTGGCAAAAATACAAAATTACCAGTGTACAAGGTTACTCAATGAAGCATGGTTTTTACTAGTAAAAGACTGAAAAATACCCAAACGACCATCAATAGGAACTTCTTGTCCTAAGTTATATGCAATGGAGTACTAAGCAGCTGTAAGAATAAATCAAGATTGGAAACCTATGTCCACAAAATCTACACATGATTGCTTGTAGCTGATTTATTCATAACTGCCAAAAATTGGAAGCAACCAGGATGTTCTTCAATAGGTAAATGGATGAACTAATTGTGGTGCATTCATACATTGTAGTATTACTCAGTGATTAAAAAAAAAAAAAAGAGCTTTCAAGACATGGAGGAACTTTAAATGCATATTTCTAAGTGTGAGAAGTCAGTCTGAAAAAGCTACATATAACTATATGACATTCTAGAAAGTCAAAACTATAGAGACAGCAAAAAGATAAGTTATTGCCAGAGGTACAGGGGCAGAAAGGATGAATGGATGGAACACAGGGCATTTGTAGGGCAGTGAAACTATTCTGGATGAAACTGTAATGGTGGACACACTATACATTTGTCAAAACTCATGGGACATAAAACACAAAGAGTGAACAATAACGTAAAGCACTGACTACAGTTAATAATAATCTATAAATATTGATTCATCAACTGTAACAAATGTACCACATGGATATAAGATGTTAATAATAGAAGAAACAGCACTAAAGGAGAAGAGAGGTATATGGGAACTTTCTGTACTTTCTGCGCAGTATTGCTGTAAACATAAAACTGCTCCAAAAATGTTGTTGTTGTTAGGCGCCATCAAGTCAGTTCCAACTCACAGCAATCATATGTATAACAGAATGATACGCTGCCCGGTCCTGCACCATCCTCACAATTGTTACTATGTTTGAACCCACTGCTGCAGCTACTGTGTCAGTACATCTCGTTGAGGGTCTTCCTCTTTTTCGCTGACCCTCTACTTTACCAAGCATGATGCCCTTCTCCAGGGACTGGTCCCTCCTGATAACGTGTCCAAAGTACGTGAGATGAAGTCTCGCCATCCTCTCTTCTAAGGAGCATTGTGGCTTTACTTCTTCCAAGATGGATTTGTTTGTTCTTCTGGCAGTCCATTCAATGTTCCTCACCAACATCATAATTCAAAGGCATCAATTCTTTTTCGTTCTTCCTTCTTCGTTGTCCAGCTTTCACATGCATCTGAGGTGATTGAAAATACCAAGGCTTACATCAGGTGCACCTTAGTCCTCAAAGTGACATCTTTGCTTTTTAACACTTTAAAGAGGTATTTTGCAGCCAATTTGCCCAATGCAATACATCATTTGATTTCTTGACTACTGCTTCCATGGGCATTGATTGTGGATCCAAGTAAAATGAAACTCTTGAAAACTCCAATATTTTCTCCGTTTATTGTGATGTTGCTTATTGGCCCAGTTGTGACGATTTTTGTTTTCTTTATGTTGAGATGCAATCTATACTGAAGGCT